GCCCAAACTCCATAAACACCGCCTTGCCCGACACGGGGCTGTTGAGACTTTCTGGCATGGTGGTCATGGTCATCTCTTCTCGAGGGGTCTGGGTGTGGGTCTCGCTCTCTCTCTCTCTCTCTCTCCTCTGCTTTCCTTTTGGGGGTTTCTGTGTTTCCCAGGACAGGAAGGAACCCAATTTAAGCGGAACAGGGGTTTTCACTTTCCATTCATAAGAAAATGGAGTTTGTCTCTTTGAAAAGTCTAAGCATGATGCTGCTGAGCTCCCCAAACTCGCTTCAAAGCTTTGACTCAGCCGAGGTCATAAATATTCATGAGCTGGCGGAGCTGATTGGTCCGTTGCCTTGCATAATCACCGGGGATTGGTCCGAGGCGCTCCGGCTCTGCTGGACTAGAGCGGGCTAGGCGGCTGGGCCTCGGGAGAGACGGGTCCACACTTCCCGGCCGGGGCTCTCGCCTCTGCAACAGAGCGTACCGGGTGGGGAGCACAATGGGCTGTGGAGCCCGCGCCAGGACTACCGCGGCCCGCGGCTCTTCAGCCCCCCGCCTCCCGGTGTGCCTTACTTCCCAGAAAACCACCTGCGACCCAGCGGCCACCCTCTTCCCCCTACAGTCCTCATCCTCCTCCCGCCCCCAATACCGGGGATCCCGGCATCGCTTCTCCTAGTCGCCGCCGCCACTTGGTCCGGCGCTGAGTTAGGGTAGCTCGAGCCTGGCGGCGGCCTCAAGAACGCGAAGTCGCGCACTGGGGGGCGCTGGAGGCGGCCAACAGAGCGCTTCCTCCCCAGCTTCTAGCGTCTAGCGCACCGCTCTCCCGGAGGCCCCGCCCTAGCCTGGGTCCGTTCCGCCACATCCCTAGGGTGAGGTCTGGGGCTCTGCGGGTGAACTCACTCACTCGGCCGCCGCGCCGCCGCCGCCGCCGCCGCTCCCTGGGGCCGGCTCGCATTGCTCCAGGCCCAGCTGGCCCCTCCAGCTCGAGGCTGCACAGGTCTGATAAAAGCAGTGCGCGCGGAGAGCCAGGAACCCGCGCTTCTCCTCCCAGGAAAGGCAGCCGCACCGCCCCCTACCCCCAAGACTCCCCCCCTTCCCCTCCCAACCTTCCTCCACCACCCCCTCCTCTCTCCACTCCCTCTGCGCGGAGCGCCTAGCGCTCACTCTCCCCCAGGGCGCGGCGCCTAGTGGAGCCGAGGAGCTGGCAGGCTCAGTGTTGCTTGAGCCACGGACGCCAGGTGGTCATTTTCCGGCCTCCTGGAGTCTGGCGAGAGTACCGTGGGTTTGGGAGTCCCGTGCGACACCGAAACCTGTGGCAAAAGCAGGCCAATGGTAGGCTCACATGTCTGTGTGTGGATATGCCTCTTATTGTTGCCCGGGATCCTCCTTATCTTCAGTGGTCAAAGCGGGTGCCACTGGACCTGGGGGCAGGGCTGGTGGAGGCAAAAGCTGCCAAGCCGCCTTCTGTCTTCAGGAGCGCTAGGTACAGAAAAGTGCACAAAGCCACCCCACACCCCACCCCTGCTGTCATTACTTTGTTAGGTAATTAGAAAGTGTTGAGAATTATTTCTTTCATAATATAGCGGTGTGGCGGGAACGGGGAAATGATCTTGTGAAAGTTCACACGTGCAGATGTATTAGTTACTGATTCATTTGATTAAATGGTAGTCTCAAGTGCTCGGATCCGCAGCTGAAGGCGCCCCATTAGCATAACACTGATGTTTAATTTTCATACGCATAATTAGCCATATATTTAACACTAATAGCAACACGCAGCCTTTCAGAGTTAAACAGCCCGGGATTTGATCTGGCCTGAGCTGAACCTTCGGCGATGCACCTTCCCCTGTCTGGAGTGCGCAATGATCACAGGACAAACCTCTGTAATCAAGCACATTTTGGCAGAAGAACACCAATAAAAACGAACATTCAAAACAAATTACATCGGTGCTGTCGTTACAGATATTAGTGGAAGGGGCTTCTCTCTTTTTTAACTTCAGTAGCAGCAGCTGCTGCCCGCGGAATTCCTCTCCTTTGGTTTAAGGGCAGAATGTAGGGGGTAGAAATATTTCAGGCAGCGTGGTTGGAGCAAAAGGAAAAACAAAAGCAAACAACAACAACAACAACAACAACAAAAAACCCACAACCAATCCCCCAAACCAATAACGGGCTTGCCAACGTTTAAAAACGTTTTGTTTTGGGGTTTTTTTTCTTCCCTTAATCACCCAACCACACCGTGATACTTTGTAGCAACAACCAGCTAATGACTCCGCTACCAGACAACTCCAGGAGCTGCTGGACTCCTCTTTCATTTCTGTTGCACTTGTGGGTTTAATTGCTCCTTCCTAGCGCCTGTTTTGGGGTGTTGGAGAGTGGTGTGGTGCGCCCTGCACAGCAGCACGTTTGCCGCCGGACCTCTGGTCTCCCGTGCGCCTTGCGGGCCCTTGACCACGTAAGTGATCGCCGCGCCTGGCGCCGGGCTGGGGTTGGGGCTGGAAGCGAGGGAAGCGGGGCTGGCGACTCCAGGTGCTCAGGGCAAGGCGTGAGGAAACCCGACAGCTGGGCCACGCATGGCCAGTTTATTCCAGATAACTGCAGGGTGGGGGACATGGAGAGAGGTTGCCACAGGTCGCGAGTGTCTGTCTCCAGGGCTCTCTGTCCGTCCACATCTGGAGAAACCCGACATTCACAGCGCAGTTAACGGGGCTGGCTCCGGGGAACAAAAGATCCTCACGCGCCCCGCTAAAGGGAAACGGTTTCAGAGCCTTGTGCATTTTAGAAATGAATTATTGTGGGCGAGGTAATGTCTACACTCCGGAATCATTTCTTAGACCCACAGAAGCAGGGCTAGGGAGGGGAGGCTAAGCTGGGGTCCTCGGGCGCAGAAACGCCGGCCTCGACTAGCTTCTCAACTGCGATCTTATCTCTACTCTATGAGCCCTTCCTCTCCGTGCCGCTAAGGCGACACCTGTCCTGAAACGCCGATTTGCTTAGATCTTTGCCTGTCCCAACTATGAAAGGAAATGAAACTCTTCCATTTATCCCCGAAGTCCCGGATTGCGAGTAGAACCTCTTGGAGACACTGCAGGACTGGTCCCTGGTGGTGGTAGCTGTAGCCACGCAAGGGCTGGAATCCCGGTTGCCCTGGGTGAAATATGGAGCCAGTTAAGCTGCTGGCGGTGAGAGGTGGAGAGCGGACCAGGTGTTTTAGACTTCGCTTCCTAACTCTCTAACTTCAAAGCACGTTAAAGGGAGTTCGGTCTAAATGAAGTTTGTTCTTACAGAGCTGCAGAGTCTTGGCTGGTGCTGAGATTTACATACACACACACACAAACACACATGTGTACAATGTTTAAACATTAGGCTAGTTACTTTAATAAATGGGTTATGAACCTGTCCCATAATGAACCTCCACCTTGGAATAATTGCTGCACAAGCAGTGTTATCCCAGTGGCTGATGAAATCCTTTGGTCCTAATTCAATTATTCTTGGGGAACCTGATCCATAGATAAGATACGGGCTAATTGTTGCAATCCTACTGCAAGCGAAGTCATTTTCAGACAAACCTCTTCCAAGGACTCCTGGGCCTTGCTCCTCTCTAGAGACTCCAGATTGTTCAAGGGCAGCAACCTCGGCCTGTAGGCCTTTGCTTGGCCGCCTCTCAGGACCCCAAAAGTTTTTCTATGAACCTTGAAAATCTTCAACCCTTTTCTTGTCTTTCCCAGCTCTCAGATCCACTAGAATGAGAATAATTTCTGTCTAAATTCTCCATCCCTGGACACATAAAAAGAGAATCAGAGGGGTTGGTGGATGCCCAGGAGAATCCCGAGTTCAGGGAAAAGCTCGAACTGAACACTTTTCCCAGCATGCTCATTAGCCTCAGTTTCCTATTTCTTTTCCCACCACTGTGTCACAGACAGGAGCTTGCTCTTCGGACCCCAATCACGGAAGCCATTTGTCATGGCAACTCTAGGAGCCCTCTATTTCCTTAGTGCTCTCCAGGCCAAGCTATATTTAAGTGGATGGCAACCTTGCAAAACCCGCTTTAGTAGAAACAAGGTTTAGCACTTACTGCGAGGACACCCTAACTGGACTTGTTCCTAAAACCATGACCAGAGGGACACTACTTTGTATGTGGCCTGCTAGAAGCCCAATCCCTCTTCACCCGAGTCCAGGTGTGAACAGGTTCGGGGGGAAGTAGTGCAAGGAAAGGGAAGGTATTCCAGGCAAAAATAGGTCTTGGGAGAGGACTGGATTTCCTGCTCCTGAAGCAAGTGGAGCTGCAGGCAGGCCGCACTGGAATGAAACTCACTGGCTCCAGTCCTGCTAACTAGGCCCTTGCCCTAAAAAATTCCCGTGTCTCCTCCAGCACCACAGTGCTAGAGCTCTGTCCACTGTCCAAAGGGGACCGGTATGGGGAGAGGTTAGTTTAGGGGCTAGACCAGGCTGGGGCTCTTGCTTCAATTCCTAGTGCAAAAAACGGACCAGCGTGTGTGTGTGTGTGTGTGTGTGTGTGTGTGTGTGTGTGTGAGAGAGAGAGAGAGAGAGAGAGAGAGAGAGAGAGAGAGAGAAGTAACCTCTGGGATGGCACTGCAGGGCAAGATGAAGACCTCGGAGGAGAAGCTGCAGGGGACCAGAGAGTCATGTTTTTAGATTGATAAAGCCCTGCAGAAGGGCCAGATTCCAGGATCCACAGGCCAAAAAAAAAAGGTTTGGTTTGTAACCAACCCTTCCATTCGAGCTGATGTTTTCATTGCAAAGCTGCTATGAAGGGGAAAGAACTGAAGAGCTGGGGAGCAGCTGACCTCTGGGAGCGCCCTCGGGGCCAGCCAAAGTAGGATCCACAAGGGAGAAAAAAGAGACTTTAAAAAAATTCCAGCTGACAGCTAGGCTCGAGATTTTCTTCATGCGTGCGCTTGTGAAAAGTTCAGAAACTCAAAAATTAACCAACTACCCTCTTCTCCCCCAGTAGTATTGTCAGAGACAAGGAGCGCAGACACAATGGGTTTAAGAGGTGCAAGCTTTTTACTTGGGCATTATCAAGACAAGGGAAAGAGGCAAACATGTACCTCTAGGAACCCCTTGTCTTCCAAATGAAGGCGTCCCCACACCCCTGCAGAAACGTTTCCCGACCTGGGAAGCCGAGTCCGCGCCAGGATCAGTTTTTCGGCAGCCGCGCCGCCAAGCAGGGCTTCGGATCTGAGTTCCTAACTGCCCCCAATCCCCACCGGGTTTTTCAAGGTCCCTTTAGGTACTAGGTTGGCTGCTGCACGACTTGCACTCCGCCCGTTTCTCCTAAAAGTTCTCCAGCTGGAATTCGGCAATTTAGGAGGAAAGGGGCCCAGCCTCTGCGACGTGGGGGCCGCTCCTCAGGCCTCATGGGGCAGTTTGGTCAGGATCTGAGCGCCCCCCGACGTGATGACAACTGTGTGCTCGAACTGGGCGGACCTGAAACACAGAAGGCAGCGGTCAGGACCCGCGCTAGCACGGGCGGTGCTGGGAGCACAGCTCGTCAGCGCCGGGACGAACCTTCCCTTCCCACACAATTTGAGAGCAACTGGGCACAAGCAAGCACCTTCGGTTGTCCAGGGAGACCACAGTCCATGCATCCTCCAGGACCTTAAATTCAGGGGATCCTTCGGTTATGATTGGCTCTGTAAGAGGAAAAATATTTACTGGAGTGATTTAATCAGGTTCTTGTCAAACATTGTTTCCGCTGATTGTCAAAAAAGAATAAGAAGGTTCCCCCCTCCTCCTAAGTACTTCCCCCACGGGTTCATGTTGTCATATCGCAAGGGCTGATAATTGATGTTGCTTACATAGTATACTACAAACTAAACAGTAGGAAGAGGAAACGTTACGGCATTCAAAATGTATGAAGTTGCCTAGTTCGTAATTTTTTAGAGGAAAAAGGGCATTTTAATCAAGCCTTAATTAGGACCCTGTGGATAATAACCACCCAAACACCAGTTCCTCTTATAAATACCAGTGAGTTTTAAAAAATATTTGAATTTTTAAAACATGCTCAAAATGTTCATTAATCAGCAAATAACAATTTTCATATTTCACTCTAATTGCTTCTCCATTAAGTCCCACAGTCAGAAACATGATGCCTTCCGGGTCTTAGGTGATTGGAATTTGGTGGTGACACCGATCACATGATCAGTCAGAGAATACATGCCACTTGCTAATGGAGAGCTAGGGACATAATCACCTCCAGTTACTGGGTGTTAATGAAAACACACACACACACACACACACACCCCCTCAAAACCCAAATACCACATTATGTTGGTAACAGAATTAGAGGTTGGAGGGCTGCCGTTTCCCAAATGTGTCAGTAAGTATCTGATTCAGGAAGATGGGGCTTGAGGATATTATTTAATCAGATTTACTATGCATCTGAATTATTTCATTATGCTGATTGGCTTTATTAGTCCTTCACGGGACTGCCTGGCCCAGGCCAGCACTTCCGCTCCCGCTCGGGGAGCCACGGATCTCCGAAGTGCAGCTCCGGCACTGACCTATGGTGAAGGCCATTCCCTCCTCCATGAGCAGATCGCTGTCATTTGCTGTAAAAAATAAAACATGGGGTAGGGGGCGTGGGAGTGGGAAATAGAGAGAAGAATAAAGAGAAACAGAATTAGAGGAATGGGGCTGCTCAAAAAATTTGGTAACTTTTTTTTTCTCTTGGGATAGAAGGGAGGGTGGAGGTTTCTAGAATCCTGGGCGCTGGCTACCAACCAGGAGTTAAACACTGGGCTCCTGGGTCTCAGCCTTTGCATTTCCTGCACTTGGGGTCAAGGCCTGGCAGGGATAGCCTGGGTATTTTAGACACTTGTCAGGATCCCCTCTTCTCCTGGCCGCTTGTTATGAGGTCGCCTGGCTTTGCTGTGTCCTGAGCCTTGCAAACCACCCCCACCACAAAGAGAAAGACATTTTGAGCAACAGATGCAAAGGTAAGGCAGCCACCTGGGGGGGTGAGTTGCAATAGGAGGCAAGGTCAGGGGTGACTTCAAACAACTCCAAGTACTGGATCTGGGTAGAGCCCATGCCTGTGAGGCCCTGTCTGCACTTCCTCCTGGACCTCTTCTGAGCTCCCTCAGGTGGAGCTCTTTGGTTCAAGGGGAGTTCTGCCTGTTGCCTCTCTAGGGGTCTTCCAGCAGGTGGGTTCCAGGCAGGAGTTCTTCCAGGGACTGCTCCTACCCCACCCCCAAGGGGGCGCACGCCTGCACAGGGTCCTTTGGTCTCACTGTAGGTGTGTCTCCTCTTGGGGGTACTTCAAAGGCCTCCCTGCTACCCTGGTGCCAACACCCCCCCCACCACCACACTGCGGCCCACCCCTGCCTTCCCACTGTGAGGTGCACACCCAGGCAGTGAAAAACAGGAGATTCTGGGGAAGGAACACAGGGTGGGTATAATCCAGAAATCACTAAAGAGTACATGCTGCTAAATACATCAGCTGTCAACGCTGTGTAGGATGTAATGAAGTTTAACCACAACAGTCAGCAGTCAAAGAAGGGCGTAGAAAAAGGAAACAGAAAACAGTCATGTGTGCATGCTGCTGGGGCACTGATGCAGTGGCGTTTTGTTTTCAGTAACTTTTCCTAGACAAATATTCCTTGTGCCTTCCAGCCATCAGTCTCCAAGAGAGGACACAAAGCAAAATAAACCTTATTTTGGGAATGAAACTACTGGGCTCTAATCCAGTAACATAGTAATGTGCTGGTTATGATTAAATACCCATTTGAATTCTAATTTTGCATCTACACACACAAAAGGATGATAATGTGGATTCAAAGTTAGAGTTTCAGGAGCAAAACTGCCTTATCCAGATTCCATTTAATAAATAGCTCCCAAATTAACTTTCTTACCATGATGCCAAATTTCAGGATGTCCATGAAAGTAAGATCCTATCCCATGTCCCACAAAATGTGGACAGACTTGAAAACCATTCTGATGCGTTATGTGGCTTTAAAAGTGACCAAACAAAAACATTTAATTAAATTAGATAAGTTTTAAGTGCATGCATAGATAAGACAAAGTCATTTTAAAATATTCTATGAAAAAGAAAAAATCAGTTATATTTAGAGTCAGATAATAACAATATTTTTACTATTCTGGAATAAATTAAACAAAATTTTTTGCCATTGCTTGTAAAATTCCCTTTGAATAAATGAAGAAAAAGGTATGTATCTAACACAGTAGTTTGCTTCATTTACCTTAGTACAGCACCCAAACAAGACCACTTTTAGACAACAAGCATACACGCACATATAGATCCATATAACAAAGATACATGCGCATCTAATGCAGGTTGTAAAAACTTGCCTGGTGTGTATGGGGTTTCATAAAAAGGCTGTGCAAATTACTACTGATTTAGGAACCAGAGGGAAAAAATGTACAATCTAGGAATGTGACTTCCTACTTCTGTAGTTTCCTTATTCTGGTCTATTTCAAAACATGATACATTTTGCCAACAGTCACACTCATACAAAAGGTCCAATCTGTTTTGTCCATATTCTTGAAACACTCCAAAACTTTGTGATCATTTATGATTCCCCCTCAAGACCTACACCATTAACAGAATTCATAAAGAATGCTTTTTAATCACTGTGACACTTTAAAGCTAGTATTATGATTCCTAATTCTTAATGCTTCATTCGTTGTTTCTACATGCAAATCATTTGGGTCCCATCTATTCTGTATACATAAAATATGGCACATATACCCCAACCCTACAAGGTTAAAAAGTTGTTTTTGAAATAGGTGTGCATGTTTATTTCTGGGAGTGCCAGAAAGGTAAGAACATATATACTATTAACAATTTATATTTTCATGTGAATGAAGGGTATAGTGCCTGAACCCTAACCATAACAATGGAATTCTTAACAAAATCAAAGTTCTGAGATCCCAAACTAGAGTTTCCAAAAGACTCTCCATTTAGTTTAACATAACTCAAAGGCACTTAGCCAGCATCTTTATGAGCATGTCTTGTCAACATACTTTTCTCTCAACATTTTTAACCTTCATCTCCAGACCTGTAAAATATCTTCACTTAGACCAGGATATCACAATAAACAGCAGCTGGGTAGACTCTCACTCATATTTAATTTCCATGTAACTGATAGCACTGAAATAAGTAAGCTATGCATGTGCTGAGAACAGGAATTATAAGTCAATTTTTTATCTAAGTTGTACCTTATGGTTATTTCTGTGTGTCTTGGTACTTTGGGCAGGAGGTTAAACAAATTTCTCAAAGCTTTTCTATTTATACCACACAATTTCTGAATAGAAACTGAGGGTGGAGAGTGAATAGAGGGTAGAAGAGATATTATTTAATATGGTATAATAATCTAGATTTTTTTAAACAAAAATGGACTCTACCTAAACCTGTAAGTTATGTTACTTTGGTTTCAATAAACCTCAGTGATTCTAAGAGCATTCAATATAAACCATTCTATTTTGATTTCTTTAAAAAAAAAAAACCAACTAGTTCTTTTTTAAAGGCTCTAACTGATTGGCAGCCATCACAGCTACATCTTAAATGTACGTTACAACGGCAGTCTTCATTTTAATTTCCAATGAGAGGAGAGGAAGAAAGCCCACTCTGAAAAACCACTTGGGGTCCCTCCCCCCATCATACCTCTCACTCCTCTTCATAAAAGAAGCTGTGCGATTACTAGGTGGCTAAAGATATCTGAGTGCATTCTCCTACAACAATTTACTGCCTGGATCCTGCTGGAACTTCTGCTTATAGGAGTACTAGTAAATGTATATGTCATGAAAGCAAAGGTGAGAGGATTTCACAGCCGTGTGGAAAGAACCGGACAAATTTCCTTCACTTCCTTGGTTGAGCACCTATCTCAATGCCTGATTCCCAGGAGCTAAATATGCACTTCTGTGTGCTTTTCAGAGTGTTTTCCTTTTGGATTGGTAGTTAGCTTTTTAACACATATCTATAGGGACTAAATGGGATAAAAATCTCATCAATGTTCCAAATTGCTATTTAAAAGAGCACCCCTTCTATTGTTTTGGAATATATGAGAAGCACAAGATTTATTTACCTAATTCTAGGGTTTAACTAACTTCATAGAGACAAGCCAAGTGATTTGTAGTAGCAAATGTCACTCTAACATGAAGGCAAGAACTGGTAACCCCAGCCGTGGCATGGCAAGGTGAAGCATGTGTGCTTCTTTTGACTGGAGTGTTGGGAACATGGAAACTTTTAGATTGCTATTTAAAAGCACACCTCTTCTATTATTTTGGAATACATGGAAAGCTGGGTGGGCGGGGGTGCCCAAGAAGTGCCGTAGGTGCTCCCCAACACCAGCCATCATAGGGCCCTGACTATTTCTGAGCATAAAGGTCTTCTTGCCTTGGACATTTCACCAATGAAGTCTGCCTTCTCTATATTGAAATCTACTGAAAAGAACTCTCCAGGTATTAGCTCTTCTCTTCTGATTTTTTTTTCTAACTAAAACCGCTCTAAAACAGTAGGACACGTCTGCATGAGCCTGAGTACATTTATGATTTGAAGCCCTTCATATGGAATATTTGGGGAAAGGGAGAAAGGGAGAGAAAGAAGAAGACATATAAAAGTAGTTTACAAACTTACTTTTAAATTATACTATATTATTACAGTTCATGTTTTAGTTATAGTTTATAGTTGAAAGAGAAATCTCTCTTAAGAAATTTCATCTTGTGACCACTTTCTTCAGTTTAATTCCCTTTCATAAGGCAGTTTTCCTTAACTGAAGTACTGTCTGGATAAATTAAAATTCTTAATATATTTCAACTACATTTTTATGACTAAGAATACATTCCCCAAGAGAGCAGAAGGTACTATATTTAAGTACATACTCTTCTAAAATAAAAAATGCACATGGAAATAGTTTTATTACCATTTTTACATGAATCCAATGAACAACACTACTCTCTAAATGGTCACACCTGTAATTAAAGGATCTCAAATGGCATCTGATTTTCTAAGTTATGAAATTTTACCTTAATGTTTCCAGACTTTTATTTTAAGCAGTACTCTTTTAATGAAGGAATGCACAAATCCAGGGATTCTCTCTAATGACAAGGAATGTTTAAGTATAATTAGTAATATTTTTTGAAAGCCAACAATTGCTTTCCAAAAGAATAGTGCATTTTTTTTTTGTTTTAAACTGGATCACAAATTACTGTATTTTCTTACAATAGTCCTGAAATTTTATTTGAGGTTTTCTGTTACTGAAAAGCAGACATGATGGGTTGAAATAAAAGATAATTTATTGCAATGCTTACTTTCATGTGCAAAGAGAAGCAGTATAATTGTAATTTACAGTAGCTGTCAAGAAAAATCCATCACAGATGACATTAAAATGACTTATTTTGCCTGAGCCACTTATTGTTTAAATGTGCATAATCTAATAGAAAGAGATTATTTTTAAAAATCTGCTTTATATTCTCCTAAATTAATATCAAAACATATACTTATGAATTAAACATTAAAAAGCATTTATTGATACTTTCATCATGACATTTACAAGCATAAGTTTAAATTATTTTTGATTGAACTGTCACATATTTGTGATGCACAAATCTACACATTCACAATATTCTCATATGTGCAGATCATAGCATCTAGAGACAATTATAAAAATACAGATTTAGAAATATTTTGAAGCAAATGAAGCTACAGTGAAGATAATAACACACTGTAATCCAAAGATCACTAACCCTCATGAAACAAAAGGACACAGAGAGAAGAATACTTTTCATTAAACTATTTTGGCAAATACTTTTTCAGAGATATCCTATCCTTTAGGTTTCAGAGAATTTAAAGATTTCCTGTAAAGACCACTAGGTTTTTGGTAACATAATACTAATAAAAGATGTTTGACTGTTCTTTTTCATGATATATCAATAGAGGGAGGCTATGCAAAACATGGTGAATATCTTAAAATAAACAAGACTGAGTTGAAAGACGTTTGTAAACCTTTGGTCTGTAATGATTCGAAGAAGTTTTGGCAAAAAGGTGGAGACTGCTTCTGTATTTACTCCCCTGAAAGTATGCCTGAATAAGAAAAGGTGAGATAATAGATGTCCGGAATCAGAGGCTCCATCCATTAGAGCAAACATTGGTTAGAACCTGGGCCAGTTTCCTGTCCGTGGCAGACATAAACCATCTAAATAATGAAATGTACTAGGGTAAAAGTAAAAAATTCATTGTCTGTTATTTTTTACATAGTTTTGTAAGTGCTGTTGTTGGGACTGATCTGGTTTTCAAAGGACTGGTACATGCAAATCCAAGTCTGCAAAAACTGACCTTTGCATCTAAAGAGCTAAAATCCAATGTCACTTTCAATTCTACTCTTCTCTTTTTTTTATGTATCTAGAATTAATGCAGTGAATATGTAATGAAATGCATTATCCTACATGGAGATTTATCAGATTTTCCTACTGAATGCTATGCTTTGCTAGTACTAGCTGGAATTCACCTGCATGTTGGTGTGGCGTGTGGCTCTTTTTTGTAAACAGTTAAGTCGTACACAAAAAAAAGGGAACAAAGGTCAGCACCCAGCCGCCACTTGAATGTGAGATTTTTCTTTTTATTCCCCTTGATGTATACTAGGCTCTGTGTTATTAGTCTTAATGATGGAAAATTGTAGTGTTGATACAAATCTTTTTTTCAAAGTAGTAGGCGGGAGCTCCATTTGTTAGTAAGTTTTTTTGTGACTAAAAGCCACGGACAGTACATTTATGTAGCAGTAAAAGGCCTAGATGCTCTTTCCATAGCAGAGCTAATTATTCCTACTGTGACCTTACTGATCTAGCCTGTTCCTAGTACATCTCATCTGCACGCCTGTTCCTCTGTGTAGATGGTGTCAGAGAATATGAAAAACCCTATAATGAAACCATTTTCATGATGGAGAAAGGCTACTGGAGTTGCACTTGCTACAAAGAGGCTCAATTATATGAGTAATTGTGATAATTTTCTACATTCATAGCCTTCAATGGGGAAAAAAGAATGAGAGCCACAAAGGAAAATTACTTTAACAAGAAAGTACAGAGAGTAAAAATGGAAGAAGAGACAAAAAGGGGAAAAAATAACCAGAAAAAAAAGTTTAAAAAATAGATCTGGAGGGAGGAATAGCGAGACAGGGAGAACAACAGAAATGCTCAAAAGCCCATGTGCAGCTGTGTTGCACAATTAAATTGAATTTTTTTTCTGCAGTTGATGAATGTGACTACTGCAAATGTGCCTCTGTAGTTAGCTATCATTTGTTGTTCCGTGACAGGAAAAGGATAATTACCTCTCAGAGAGAATCAAAGGCTGACATGCCCTTTAGACACAGCCATGAATGCAGAGCTCGATAGAATGCTTGAATAAGAATCTAGTGTTCTCTGCCCCCTTCTACTGAAGAATAAATTTTGTTAAAATGCAAGAGCACCACCAGTAAATTTGTTGAACCCTAGGTGTTCAAAAATATGAGGTACATCTATCGACTCATCCCATTTGCAAAAATAAAACTGCATTTTGAATTCATTTCTATTATATTCATGGACAGTAAGATAGTGAGATATGCATTAAATTTCTTTTCCCAGTAGGGGTCTGATTCAACATTTCCTATGAAAGAACAGAGAGACACTATCCTTTTTTCCCAGGCTAGTTAGCCTATAATTTCAAACTGTCAAAAACACAATTTTGTTCAAAGTCTTCAATAAAAGCTTCTCAGATATAACCCAAAGAGATTTTACTAAAGTTTGATTCAGACACTGTTACAATATTTTTAAAGCCATAAATACATTTAACTGATATTTTACTGCCTTTTTTTCTTAAAGCATTTGAAGGCTTATGAAGAAAAAAGGCATCATCTTTTCAAGGTGACTAAGCTGTCCATCCTTCAGACAAATGGAAAGTATTCAATGGTTCATATTAATGAGAACAGTACTTTAAAAGGTACTGATGTGATCATCTTTAACAAAATGTATTACTTTTACATGAAAACATATATTCTGCATGTCTACTTCAAAACAGTTATGGGGGAAAAAAGATCTAAAAGTAGGTAACAGATTACAAAGAAAAGTCTTGAATTCAGAAAATACACATACACTCAAAAAGCAAGCACAGAACGCTGGGTGGAAAATAAACAACGGTTTACAGAAAAAATGAACCAGACCAAACAGGACAGAAGATCACCCTTTCAGGCTTTTTGCTAATCCACTAATTTGAATGGTAATGCTTGCTTGAACCAATGCTTTTTCCCTCCAGATCACAGGAATACAATTTCACTTCATTCCTTTATAAAATTTTGCTTTTCTCCTGTATCATTATCCAAGTGCTGGGATGCTTAGTCCCTCCTTAGGTACTTTCTTCCGTGTTTGGTGTGGTTTTGAGTAAAGGAACGCTACGGACCAACGTGTCAGGCTAAAACAAAAGCAGTCCTATAAATATTGCTTGCTGCTTCTATAAATTTCATTGCTAACCTGGATATGTCACTTTTTTTTAATCCTTTTTTTAAAATCCAGGAACAACACTGCAACCTGGCAGTTCACATACTGATATCAGACTGAAATGATGGTTCTGAATCATAAAACATGTCATCAACTTTATACCAAGCCACCAATAACCTTTGTACCATTTGCCAACCCTCCCTTTACTTGTCAGTGTAAGGCTTACCTGATTGTGTTTCCAATTACAGAGAAGGGAGTCCCTGCTCTGCAAGCTGCAATTGCTTCATCTCTACATCTCCTGGCGACCGCCACTAACTTTTTACCACATTCATCCACGTTGCCCACCAAAAAGGTTTCAGAGGTGTCTCCATGGTAGCCATTGTAATAGACCTAAACACAGGCAGAAATTTCAAAATACGTCCTTGTTTAAAAATATACTCTTCCAAAGTACACATTGGATTCATTTATGTATTTGGTACATTCATATATTTCACCTTTCCAGAATTACTAAGTTTACCTACAAAAAAAAAAAAAGATATGCTGAAACTTTGCAAGGATTTAAAAGATGAAGCCATGAAAATATTACAAAGTTTTAAAATAAACAAGTGACTAGTATGGCTATTTCATCATTATGATCAACAATGCTCTAGGAACATTTTGATTCCTCACTTCATTTTTGAGAAGACAAAACTATATATGCAAAAATTAGTTACCAAAGACACTGACCCACAGTTACTATAATAGGTTTAGAGAAACCAGAAATATTTAACATAGTGAACAGTTTCTTCAATGTCTTGAAGATAACTGATCTTTTATTTACCAGTTCTATACTTGTAAGTCATATATAATGACAAGAAAAAATAAGATAGACACGTCAACATCATAACAAACAGTAGGAGAATTTAACTTCAAGAACTGAAATGGCTCAATATAGACTTGAAGAATCTTGCCTGGAAGTGAAATGTTAATTGAATGTTCCAGATAACAGAATGTTAACAGAAAACACTACACATCAATATTTAAAGACTTAGAATATTCAAAAACAGTGTTAAGAATAAAATTATAAAAAATATAACTTCAATAATTCAGCAGTTCCTGATGGATCTTGAAAGATACCAGATTCAGTATAAGAATCAATAATTACCAACCACTATAATAAATATAAAAGGCTAAGAAGACTAGTTGAATATTGATCCATTGATGTAACATGGAACTTACTATTTTGCATAAATTTGCTCTATGTAATTATTTTTCACATTTCTCTTTCTCATGAAGTAGAATGCAGAAAATGTTACAAAAATTTACCTGAGCTTTCTGTTTTAATACTGAATTAATGTCTTAAAACTATATACAATTCTGCATTTAAAAAGAATCCTTTTCCACACACTTTGAGGGAAGTAGGAAAAGTCTTTATTATGTCTTTATTTTAAAAGTTAGGAAACTGCCCTGGCCAGGTAGCTCAGTTGGTTAGAGCATCGTCCTGATACACCAAGGTTTGCGCGTTCAATCCCCAGTAAGGGCACATTCAAGAATGAACAAATGAATGCATAAATAAGTGAAATTAAAAATTGTTGTTTCTTTCTACCTTTCTCTCTTTCTCTCTCAAATCAATAAATTAAAAAAATTTAGAGTCAGAAAACTGAGGTAGATTGTCTAAGATTAGTGGCAGAATATAGAAGTAGATCCAGATTAATATAATGCATTATTGGCTTATAATCTAGTGTTTTCTCTACTGTAGCAAAGTACTGTAATTATCTTGCAATAGAAAGCATTTTATACATTTATTCCCATTTGCAATCCAAGAAAGTACAAGTTTTAATTTCATATACAAGTATATTATATTTACAAATAAAAGAGTAATTATTAAAAATCTTCTAACTGAATGCTTGTATAACTGCTATTTAAGTACTATGGGCATTGCATAGTCTATTTTTTTTAAAAATTCAATGTTTAAGGGGAAAAAGTCTATTTTCTGTAATATATACTAGACATAAACAATTATAAAATAAAATAAGTATTTTCTAATAAAATATAGACACTAATATAATAAAATATAGACTATAATAATGGAAACTTTCATTTTTTTTGCCATTAAGAAATTATTTGAATGTTTAAAATGGAAGTGTGTATTGAAAGTCTTCAGGAAACTTAGAAAAGGCATGGAATATTCTCTTTGAACACACTGACATTGAAAGTGGTAGGGAAGAGTATACTTAATTTCATTCCAAGCAGCAATATTTTATTAGGAAGTGATTAGGTGACATAATAAATGTAAAACCCCCAAATCAGGTACAATCCAAAAGAAAAGTGTATCATGAAAAATATTTCATTTCAAGTATCTTTCATAAAATACCTCCTTCTACATGATTTTGAGTTGGAGAGATATCAACAGAATACATGTGAAGCAAATGTTCAAGTATTTATTATAAGTAAGATGAAATGATATAGGAAAGGATGTCTTTCCTATATCAATAAAAGTATCTTTGGCTATATCTTCACACACATTTATATGAAGAAAAAGGTTGAATTAATTTGACCAAAAAATATGACTGAAGTCAATTACTGGATGCCAATTTCTACCTCATTCCCACTCCTACCTAGGTCTTGTGGTCTGGATATAGAATATCTATTATTAAAAATATTTCCTCTATACCCCTATGTTCATTGTAGTGCTATTTACAATAGCCAAGATTTGGAAACAGCCCAAGTGTCCATAAGTAGACGAGGGGATAAAAAAGCTGTGATAAATTTATACAATGGAATACTACTCAGCTGTAAAAAAGAAGGAAATCTTACCTTCTGTGACAGCATGGATGAGCCTAGAGAGTATTATGCTAAGTGAAATAAACCAGTGAGAGAAAGACAAATACCATGTGATTTCCCCTAAGTGTAGAATCTAATGAACAAAATAAACAAAAATAAATAGAAACAGACTCAAAGATACAGAGAACAGTCTTGACAGCTGTTAGAGTGGAGGGGATATTGAGGAGCTGGGTCAAATAGGTGAAGGGATTAATAAAAAAAAACCCTCATAGACACAGACAATAGTATGGTGATTACAAGAGGGAAAGGGGGGTGAAGGGGCAGAGAGTAAAAGGGGATAGATGGTGACAGAAGGAGACTGAACTTTGGATGGTGAACATGCAATACAAGATACAAATGATGTATTACAGAATTGTACACTTGAAATCTATATAATTTTATTAACCAATGTAAGTCCAATAAATTCAATAAAAAATTCAAGCAAAAAAATATTTCATTAATAGAAACTGTACTCCTTGAATGCTATCTCAACTAGTTTTCATCAGATGTATAAATTATATTTATTTAAAACTTATTTATTAATCATCAGATATTTGGAATTTATTTATAATCTATATAATCCAAAGATATATCATTACAAAACTTCTTAGCAAAATGAACTGCCAAAGCACAAAGAAGCCGAATCTGAGAATAGTCAAGAGCTAAGAATATTAGAAAAAGTTTAGAGCTTGTACAGTTTGAAGGTCCCATGTTAAATTATTTTGGGTTGTTATTTAGAAGAAAGGCTGTTAACCATTTGGTGAAGTTCAGAGAGGAAACCACTCTGCTTGTATGCCCTGAGTTCAAGGCTGTCTGTACAAGAAATGGAACACGATGCTACCTTCAGGGATTTTAATAAATCTAAGGCACACTGCTAGCAAAAGAGTTGCTGTCCAAATAGACTGACACACACAGGCCAACGTATCCCCTAATGACAGAGTAAGATAATGACAGGCCCCACTCAAAATCAGCAGGAAGAGGAAGATCAATCTTGGCAGAGTGAAGGAAAAATGCTGGCTTTCTTCGTGTTAGCTCATCTCATACATATCTAGCTTCAGCAGCTGCCCAGTGCTGTGGTGCTCTGCATTAACTACACAGTGGATCAATAACAATTACACCTTCTCAAAAACATGACACATAGCAGGATTGGGTTGACATTTCACTTAGGCCAACATTGATCTCAGTGCATCTGATTCCAGCCCTAAATTCAAGTCAGGCCTGGGTTTACTTGGAATAAACACAGAGTTAAAGACAAAAAAGGAAACCAGCTGCTTGCGTCTGGGTCCAGAAGTAAACAGCACTGCCATCGGTGCAGTTCATATTTTCAATCCGCTCTTCTTCCTGTTGCTACCAGCAATTCTGAAGTTGATCAAAGACTATTTTTTATATGATTTACTCACCGTGACATCAATGTTGATAATATCTCCATCCTGAAGAGGTCGACTGAAACATAAACAGGAAAAATGGTGATAGACAGATCTCAATAAAAGGAATATAAAAATAAATACCTAATGACTGCTATCACAAACCCAATAAATTGCAATGATAATTTGGAGTAGAGGAGGAATGAGTGAAATAACTATATCTAATCCTTAACTTATGTTAGTCACATCATATAGTAGGAGAATATTACCATTTATAGGTCTACTATTCTTAAAAAATGTACTTACTAGTTACCTTAATTTTGCAAAGAGCCAAAATAATAGTTGATAATCAATATTTGCCTACATTTGGATTTTTACCATTTATATGGTTAAAATATAAGGAGATAAAAGAAGTATTTAATGCACAACCACTTTTTGGGGTTACATACAGCTTTAATATTAAATGGGGTATCATATCCACTTAGAAGCAAAATACTTCAAATTTTTTGTTTTACCATAATTAGCTTCAAAAGTTTGCAGGTGGGTTTCAATTAAACAATAGTGTTTTTCACCATATGTTATAGATCTTAGTTTCATGTTTTAGTTTCCAGAGGAACAGTATGTTATTAAGCAATGAATACCTGTCAGGAATACCATGACATAGCACGTTGTTTACAGAGGTACAAACAGATTTTGGAAAACCTCCATAGCCTAGAGGTGAGGGATAGGCATCATGACTGATGATTTCCCGATGAACAAGAGCATCTATCTCTTCAGTTGTCATGTCAACCTAAAATATTAAATAAAGAAATTGCTCAGTGACAGTTGAAGACATTTCCTGTATCTATTGACTATGCTTTTAGCTACAGAACTTCCAGGTGAAACTGTATAAATCTACTGTGATAAACTTGTGATACGAGATGTTACTTAATTATAATGAACATTAAAATCTTAAATTATGCCTTTTTGACAATCATTTAGGTATACGATGGTGTTATAGACTGTTAGGAAATGGCAATTTTAAACTCTTAATATCTTTTAGATCATTTGTGAGTCATTAAATAACATGACTCCCTTTTAGCCTGAAAATTTCAAAAATATGTACTTAGGCAATTCCTTCTTCTCCCTCAATGGTTAGTAAGTATGCTGGGCTAACAGAAGGATATAAATAAATACTCAAAAGGCTCATCAGTTTAGATGACAAAACCTGAAAAGTAGGTCAATCCATATGTTTATACCTCAGAGAAACATTACATGGGCTTGGCAGCAAAGGCATGGAGATTATGAATCATCATTTTAAAAAATCAGACTGATACATTTTTTACAGATTTTAAAAAAATTGACAGTTTAAAAAAAAGTTATTATTGATTATTTTAGGGAGAGGGAGAGAAAGAAAGAGAGAAAAACATCCATATGTTGATCCACTTATTTATGCATTCATTGGTTGATTCTTGTACATGCCCTGAGTAGGGATCACACCTGCAACCTTGGTGTATATAGATTACACTCTGAGCAACTGAGCTACCTGGCCAGGGCCCATTTTTTACAGATTTGATTTTCACTGATGTTGATTTCTTTCATGACTAAATAAGTCAGTGTGTTTAAAGAATATTTTTCTCTTACTAGAAGCTATCCAATTGTTCTCAAACCAAAAGAAAACTATAACTGAGCTTTGTGAGCACATGAAGACTATCTTCATAAACTCATGAATAAAATTCGAAAACAAAATCTTTTATTAAAATTAACTATTCAATAATTTTCTTTGTGTTATTTTATGTTCAAATTATGTTTAGTTATGTTGCTATAACATGTTTATGACACAGATGATACCTTAAGTAATTTCATTGTTGAGTCTCACTTCCTAAATTCCACCCACGTTTTTGAACCTACAGGCCCATATTTTCTTTTGTGATCCTTATATAGCAGAGTATTTTAGATTATTCTGACAGAACTAAATCTTGTATTAAGACAGTTGTACATAATAACATTGCTCTATTACCCAGCTTTGTGTACCCGGTCTGATCTTTTTTGCAGAGCAAATGCAAGAAAATAGGAGACAAAGGCTGAGGCAAGCAACTCTTCAGGCACATGAAAATAACGGAAATAATGTGGGGAATAAAAGCAGAAACTACAGGCAGGAGGAAGGGGGCAAAAGTCAAAGCTGGCTGCCATTGATCAACTTGGATAGGCTGATTGAGCCCAGAGCATCTCCAGAATTCTGCAATTTAAAATTGAGTTTGGATTTTAAATAATCTCCTGAATAAATACATAAAAGAATTTAATCCCTTTTCCTCATCCCGAGGCCTTACTTAATTATTAACAAATTAGATGTGTACAAAAGAAGAGTTAAAATGGGAAACAGGAAAAACAAGAGGATTTGTTGCCCCTTATATAAGTCTTGAAGCTTGGTGAAATGCCACCTTTAAACTCTTCCCAGCCAGGAGGAGGACATGACGGGCCAGCTGACAAGCTTGACGAAGCCCTTGAATCTGATCTTCATTCTTAACTTCTATGCTGTCTCCCCAGTCGGGTACAATGCCTGTCGTCACATAGTCTGGCTTCTTTATGTGCTTGAGGAAAAAGGATTGAAAACGAAGATCAGAACCCAGTGTACGACAATGGGATCATTTTTTCGGACACAACCTCCTGCTTCATGGAGCTCTGCCCTTCCTGCCGGAGCGCCGACCTCCGAAGCCAGCACAACAGACCCTCCAGGCTGCCCCCAGTTCCTTCCCCTGCCCTTTTGAACTTAACATTGCCTGTTAGTGCTGTTTCTGGATGGTCTGTTAACCTCACTGTGCTTTGAGTCAAACTGGACTGAAGTAGACTTCTGGTCAAAACAAACAGTAGTTTTCTTCCTTCTCCCAACCCTGTTAGAACCATACTGTCATTGATGAAAAATAGCACCAAGCTTCCAAATTGTCAAATGGCTAATTAAGAGCACTTTCATCTTCTTAACACAAAGATAAAATTTATGCAAAAGATAGCTCACAACACCCTCTCTTAATGAATATATGTAAAAGGCTGACTGTCAAGGCCACTGAAGCCCATTACATATACACTTTCTTACCCTTCTCAACTGTACCCAAGCTAATAAGGGACTAGAAAATAAAAGAAAACAGCCTTTCTTTTTTAAGTATATAAAAAATACCAGGAACATTTCTCTCATTTGTCAAAAACTGACAAAGTAACCCCCAAAATTCAACTCTGATTACCCCTGTAGAACATTCTCCATCACTTAAATCCATGGGCAGTATTCAGAAAATAAACACTATCTTACACACAGAGCTTCCTCAATCTCAAAGTTCTGCACGGCTCTTTATAAACTACTTCTGGAAACTGCTACATAAGCCTTGTTGAATGGTACCCAGTAAGGAGTTGGGGACAGGAAGCTGAGAGACATAACACTATTCAATTGATATCACAGCAACTCCGGAGGGGCACCACACAGGATTTAAGGACCCGCCCTTATTCTCCTGTTCAGATGGGCCTTTCTGATGCGGATAAGCCATTGCCTGCATTGCCACTGCATGAGCTCTGGATGGGCGTCTCTCCACTGCAGCTCTCGCACTGGTGGCACAAAAGCTCCCAGTCTCCCCGACAGACTGTGTGCTCTTGTCTCTGCTTTGTGATCTGGCCAGGTTACGACAGGCAGAAGGACTATTGGATTGTCACTGAAATTCTAAAACAATACATTCAACTCTCCAGAGATTTCTTTTTCTTTTCTACCTAAGAAATACCAGGAACATACTTTGGGCTCTGGTAGCCTGTCTTGTCAGCCCTTTTGTCACAAAAATGGGTCGGTCACTTACCTTCAGGAAGTATATATACTTAATATGGGTTCACTGTAAAAAAAAATGCATACAAGGGGGAAAGCAGGTGATTTTTTGTGACAAATCCATATTTCTTTCAGCTATTCTCATTCTTCCTAAATAACCCACATACCTCCTCTATATTGCATTTTTAAAAAAGGATAGGTTGTCTTCCCACAGAATTGTAATTTCTGGAAAAAAAGGGACAAATTCTCTGAGACAAGATGTTTAATTTCCCCTCAAGGAGATTCAAAGAGAGCAGCGTTAAGAAAATAAAAAGTATAAGAGCAGGCTTCAGGTAAAGAAAAAATCTAGTGCATTAGTTTCAAGTAATCTCTCTTGAATGATCCTAATTTTATAATCATTTTTTCCTATAAAAAAACCTATATACATGTAGTTTTATCTTCATGTTAGAAATTTAATATAGGAAATTTCATGATAGAAATTTTAATTCTAAATAAACTAAGCAGTTATAAGATCAGCTCTTTATTTTAAAACATTGGTATTATAGAATTGCAGCATATTAAAACTTCTCAAAGCATAATTTAAAATCACAAACCAAGTTTTGAAATTATGATTCAGACAGCTTAGAAATCAAAGGTGCAAAAACATTTGATTGGTTCTGCAGCTAACATTTATCTTGGCTGGAAAAAAGCAGCAGATAATAGTCAATACAGTACCTTAGGGACTGGATGAGCTGAAGAAACTGTAGCCGGCAAAACTATACTGTGTGAAGTATCTCTTTGTCTCCGGAAAAAGAAATTTCTGCTTTGTTGACTGCTTGACTGCTTGTGTAAGTAGATATGATTGAGTGGTGAAGAGAAAATTCTATAACAACCTAGGAGCAGAAAGAGACATATTTTAAGTAAAGAAAACCTAACACAGTGCTAAATTTTAAGATGTTGCGTAGTCACCTATTAAATCATTATTCCAATCCTTTACTGGCTCAAAAAGGAAAAGCCCCAAATAGAAAAGCAGTGGCATTCTGAGTTCTAATACAATAGTAGCATGGCATATTTATTAGCTAATACTATGTTTACATAAATGTTTGACAATGGAAAACTCTACTCTCAAGGGAAACAAACATATAGAAACATCTGCTGAGCACCAGGTCTGTAAAAAAGAACAATTTCTGCAAGGTACCTTATGCAGCAATGTCATGGATGACCCTAGATTTAGGGCACCGTTTGGGTGGCTTTTCATCCTTTAAAGCTGTGAAGAGTCATGGACAAATTGCCAGCTGCACTTTTTGCCCTCGATCGGATTACTACTCTGTGTTAAGTTCATGTGCAGTGAGGCATCATACTGAAATTCATTGTGATGAGTGCTCAAGTCAAATAAAGACTAGATAGCAAAAATGTAGGGTGTAACCCCTAAAGAAAATGAATATAGTGTCTCAAATTACCCGAACAGGAATTTTGAAATACCTATCAATATTTTAAGTGCACATATCCTTTGACTCAGCAATTCATTCTCCTAAGACTTTACCTTTAAGAGATTATACAATGATGACTATAAGAAGGTGAACACTACTGCAGCATTGTTTGTGGTAGGAAAAAATGGGAAATAACCCAAATGTCCATCAGGAGGGGACTGGTTAAATATATTATGGTATATCTACACAACAAAAATCTATGGACCTATGAGTATTAGGGAGAAGAAGCTAAATCATCTCTAAGTATTGATATAGAAAGAGGTCACAGTACTTTGTTAGGAAAACAGCAAATGCTGAACATTATGTATCAATCCCATTAATGTAAAAAAATTATATACCTATAATATTTCTGAAAATCGATATTCATCAACAGTGGTTATTTCTGGGGCATGTGTGATTGGGGCTATGGATGAAGACTTCTTGAGTCATTTTAATTTCTTCTATAGTGTTAGAATTTTTAAACCTCTCACTTGCATAACTTCTATAATTAAAATAGTAGTTTAAAAAATCCCCAACATGTTATAATTGCATGTCAGGAGTTGGCAAACTACATCTCAAAGGCCAAGTCTGGCCTGCTGCCTGTTTTTATATAGCCCACCACCTAAAAGTGATTTTTATGTTTATAAATGGTTGAAAAAACTCAAAATAAAAATATTTTATAACATGTGAAATTATATGAAATTCAAATTTCAGTCCTCCTAAATAAAACCTTATTGAAACAAAGCTACCCTTATTTACTTACAATTGTCTGTGGCTGTTTCTGAGCTACGGTGGCAGAGTTGAGTAGTTGAGACACATCTGGCCCTTAAAAAAGCTGCAGACTCCTGATCTAAAACACTGGTTCTTAAAATGCTGTTCCCAGAACAGCAAGATTAGCATTGTATGGAAAAAGATGCAAATTCTTGGGCCCCTGCTGATTCAGAAACTCTGGGATGAGGCCAGCAATCTGTGCTTTAACAAGCCCTCAGGGTGATTCTGAGCACACACAAGTTTGAGAAGTACTGGCCTAGAGTAACCTTTCAGCTGTCAAACAAAATGGAAACATGTACTGCAGATGAGTTCTGACCCCAAAACTCAAGATCTCTAAGTTTTTTAAGAAAAAAAGAGCTGGTGCCAACAAACCCCAATGGTCAGTGATTGAGTGTCCTAAGTTTTACTCAATTATGTTCTTCCATAAAGTTCAGTTTAATATTATTGAATTAACCTTACAGAAATGTTATTTTTAATAATTCCAAATACTGGACAAAATATCTATCATATCGCCTTAAAAAAGTAGCCCAAGGTATGTACATATTCTCTAAAGTTTGTAAAGTACAGTGTTCCCCTACAGACACCACTATTCCAAGATTGTCAAGTGATATCTGAGTGTCAGGAAAAGCAGGTGATTAGAAAACAGAAGTCTGGAGTTTCATCTCAGCTCTATCACTTGCTAGTTGTGTGGTCCTGAACAAGTTTCTTCTTTTGGGTCTCAGGTGAGAATTAATTGGAACACAGAATGGGTAGCACCTTACATTTAGTAGATGCCCAATAAATGATGGTTCCTTCAAGAACACCTGGAAAGTAAAATAAGAAAGAAAACATGGGTGCTGGCTGGTGTGGCTCAGTGGATTAAATGCCAGCCTGCAAATCAAAAGGTTGCAGGTTCCATTCCCAGGAAGGGCACATGCCTGGGTTGCTGGTCAGTTTCCTAAGTTGGGGGCGTGCAAGAGGCAAACCATTCATGTATCTCTCACACATTAATCTTTCTCTCCCTCTCTTTCTCTCCCTCCCTTCCCCTCTCTCTGAGAAATAAATAAACAAAATCTTTAAAAAAAAGAAAACAAAAAGAAAACATGGGCTCTGCTACAGCTTCTAATACTAAAGACTTATGTGTCAATTACTATATTAGGCACTTTACATATGTTATCTCATTAGTCTTCCAAGAACCCTATGAGTTATAAAGTACAAATTGTTACATTCCACAGCTGAAGAGTGAGGCACACAAAGGTAAGTAACTTCCCTGGGGACATACAGTAAGCGCCAAAGCGGGGGGAAAGCAGGCTGGATTGTTCCCACAAATTATATTACTTTTCTCACATGCATGAGAAAAAATGAGCTAACACACATGGAAACACCCAGAAAGTGTGAAAGGAACCATACACTATTAAAAGTTACTACTATTAATTATTTTTCCAGAAGTAGTAGTGGGTTGACCTAATCCATCTGCTCTCTCAAGGCAAGCTCCCTTTGTTGACCAAACATATGATTCAGTGAGAAGTTGGGTGGACAGTCTGTGGATATGGAATAGAAAATCTGGGCCCCAGCTAAAGCAAAGCAAAGACTCAAGTGGAACGAATCTATGACTATGGGCCCCCTAACTGCATTAGTAGGTCGGACCAAAGACATATTTTTCTGAGGAAAGTGTGTTTATGATACTATTAATAATAAGAACATTGATAGAAATAGTAACGATAATAGTGGTTAACATTTAACGGCCACATTCTTTAAGTAAGCACAGTGCTAGGTGCTCTACATACATTAGCTCTTATCCAGTGTGTCAGGTGGGCAGGCAGCTGTTGTCGCTATTCTACAAATGAGGAAATAAGGCTCGGCCTCTGGTTGATGGGTCAATGGCTGGCTCTGTCTCAGGTCCTCTAGGTCCACATCCAGGGCCGTGTCTGCCACCCCAAGCTGCCTTTCAGCAGCAGGGGCTCTAGCAGCCAGCATGCTTTGCTTTAGAATGTGTTTTTTTAGGAAATGAATTTTGAGGAAAGCTTTTTTTTAATCATGAAAAAAAATAAATACCATGGAATGAGCCAACATTTAGCATAAAGGTACTTCCCATGAAAATTCTTAGAACTGACTTAACTGAGAAACATTGTGGCAGTGAAAATAGCATGAGCTTTGAAGCCAGTCAGATCTGAATGACAAACACTTCTGAGCCTCTCTTTTGTCACCTCTACATGGGAATAGCAGCGCTTTCCTCTCTACTAGGATGTTGTGAGCATTAGCTGAGACAACATGTATATGTAAGCCATCTTTAAAAAAGTAGGCGCTCCATGAATGTTAATTTTGTCCTTTCCTTTCTCAATTCTTTGACATGTTTACCTTGGACCTCTGCATTTATTTATTCTTTTATTCAACAACTACTTACTGAGCTCCTCCTATATGCTATAGAGGCGAGGTGAACAATGTGACAAAGTCCTTGCTCTTATGGAGTTTATATTCTATGGTGGGATGCAGACATGAGGCAAACAGATATATTAGATTATATCAAATGATGATATACATGATGCAAAGCAGGCCAGAGTAACACACCATTGGATGGCACGTGCAAGCTAACTTCTACTCCAGCTCCAGCCAAGAGCTAATTCTGACCTTGAGCAGTAACATTAACAGTGAGCACTGGCTAAGAGCTTACTGGTGCCACAGATGCTACCAGTGACATAGCATGCTTCGTGAAAATAAGGGAGCGGGACTTCATAATCTGTGAGTTCCCTTTTAACTCTGACACTTTTGCCTTCATTCAGCAGCATTTGATCATCATGCTACATTACAGGTAATGGGATGATATAGACTCTAACCAGTTTTAGGACTCATGAAGATTTTTTTTTCAGTGTGGCAGATAACACAAAAGAGAGTTCATCTTTATCAGTATCACTAAGTTCAAGTACATAGTCATTACAGAGGAAATCTTTTCTATGTACTTAAACTTAAAGCATGAAGTCATCAGGCCTCCTCAGGGATATCAGGATGAGGCTTCTGAGACAGTCACTTCTAGGATGAACAGTATTGCTAATGTACCTGCTTTTACAAACGATGGGCTCACTGCCAAAAAGACGCAGGCACATCCACACATGACAAACATTGGAAACAGCCTGAATATATCCAGTTTGTTAACAATTACGGTTCAGCAGTGTACTCAGCAATTCCACTTTCATAAGATACTTTCTTATGTGAAGCAAAATCTTTTCTTTCAGTCTAATAAAATGACATCCTATAAATGTTACAAGGTAATAGGATAATAAGGTACCATACCATTTTATTCCACTATTCATTACGAACCAGAAAAAAAACTAGTGTTTTCGCAGGTGAAACAAAGAAATGAATTAGGTCAATATGTGCCTTTTGAAGATAATGGTCCCCCATTTAACGTGGCCCCAAAAAAGGGAGGGGGCAAGATCCTCAACTTTACCATATCGTAATTAACAAATTTCCTAAATGCAGAATGAACAAAATTAAAATCCCCTGAGTGAATATCAGTCCCAATGATATTCAGGGTCACAGGTTAACTAACCTACAGTATCCGCTACAGATCATTCTATAAAAGGCTTGCTGAATTTCCTATAGTAGGCACTGTTTCCTTCTAAAAGCACTGCTTCGTACACTTAAGACTAGTATAAGTTATATATCAATTATATGTC